TTGTCTTATTGGTTTTTTATTTGTTTCTTTGTTTACAATTTCCATTTGTTTCGCATTTTTATTTTGTTTTGGAGTGAGAGTGGGGAGATCCTGAAGTTGAGTGGATAGTGAAGTGGGATGGAGAGGATCTACAGAAGGAAAAATATGACAAATATATATTGTATAAAAATTAAATAAAAAGTACATTATTTTTTTTAAATCTGGATTACCAGAAACCTTAAAAAAAAACCAAGCAAACAAAAATCTGCCAGAATTCCAGGAAGTCTAATGTGAAACAGTCTCTCCTAAAATTGGATGCATAAACATGACCACAACAGTGACAATATTAATAGCCATGCTAATGTGGAAGGAGGAAATGTTCACAGCATCTTACCTTTAGACAAAGAACTGTAGACAACCAATAACTGCTGGGAATGGAAGAACTAGAGTCTCCCAGGACTGAGCCTCCTTGTTGTTTATCCAATACAAAGTGGTCAGACCTGCAATCATAAACACAAACAACAAAAATGAACTAAGCAAGTTGTATTTATATATGTGAGTATATATTTAACAATAATAACAAAAGAGGCAATCAATTTGACAGTGGGAGAGTATGGGAGGAGCTAAATGGAGGTGTGATATCTATTCTTGGTGTGAACTTGACTACATCTGTAATTAATTAAAATCTAAGCAGCTGAGAATACCTGTGAGGGATTTTTCTTAATTAAATAATTTGAAGTAGGAATGTCCACCTTTAAACTGTATCTTTTGAGGCGGGAAAATCCACATTTAATCTGTGCCACACCTATATAATAGACGTAAAAGGAAACTCTTTCTTGCTTGCCCTCACTCTAAATGGCAAGCCATTCATTTACTGGCATTTGAGCCTACTTCTTTGGGATTCCAGCATATATTGAAGACAAGCTGAAACATCCAGCTTTGTGAACTGAATAACTACTGGATTCTTGGGAGACAACCATTGTTGAACTAGCAGGACCACAAAACAGGCTGTGGTCCTGCTAGTACAACAGTGGATAGATAGATAGATAGATAGATAGATAGATAGATAGATAGATAGATAGATAGATACATAGATACATAGATACATAGATACATAGATACATAGATACATAGATAGATGAGGGGCACTTGTGTGTGTATAGAATGAGTATATTATATATTCTTTAATATAATATTAATATATTATAAAAATATATTGATATCTAATATATAGAATGAATGTATAATATATTTCCATTTGCTGTAATATTCATTATATATATATATACATATATATTCATTCTATCAGTTCTGTTCTTCGAGAGAATGCTGACTATTACAGGAGAGTATCTGGGAGGGGCTAAAGGGAAGGGGAAAATTATATAAAATCCTTTTTATTTAAAAATTATAAAAATTTTAAAAAGACATCTTTTGGACATGTCATGGCCATTGCCCAAATAAATTCACTGGAACTGTAGTTACCCAGAAAAGATTTGCACAAGACTGAGCCCATCAGCATTTGATGTTTGCATGATCATCCATTGCTGAAAATGGGGCATTAAAGTCCTCAACTATTATTGTATTGCAACAAAAAAAGTTATATCTGTCTCAACACCTGCATCAATAGCTATTTTGAATGAATATGGAAAGGACTCATAAACACACACACATACACACACAAAGAGAAAGAGACAGAGAGACAGAAAAACAGAGAGAGATATGAAAGCAGGAGGGGGACCTGCTAGGATAAAGAAAGGTTGCAGATAGAAAGTGAGGAGGTTGAGAAAATGTGGAAATGACTAAAATTCCTTATAAGCATGTATAAAACTATCACTAATAAAAGTGTAACAAAAGCAATATCTGGATAGGTCAAACAGAACAAAGAAACCTCAGCATTTAATTGCATCCTAGACCACATGAACCTAACAGCTATATAGAGAGTATTGCATCCAACAGCTCCTGAATATACATTTTTTATCAGCACAGAGAGTATTCTTGATATTTAAGATAGATCATATGATAGACCAAAAAATAAGTCTCAACACATTTTAAAATTGATATTAGGCTGAGTATCTTCGCTGACCAAAATACAATAAAGCTAGAAATCAATAACAAAATACTTTAAAATTATGCAAATACATAGAAATCAGTGTATCATTGAACATCTAATAGATCAAGGAAAAATCAATAAGGAAATGAAATAGTTTTTCTAAAAGATGTGGGTGGAAACAGAGACGCACCATACCAAAACCTATGGGAAGCAGCAAAATCCAAGCAAAGAGGGACATTTGTAGCAATTTAAAAAGTAAAAAGACATTAAACAATCTATCATTGCATCACAATGAGATAACAAAAAACCAACAAATTAAAGCCAAAGTTATTAGAATAAATAACAAGGAACAAAAAATTCTAAACTAAAACAAAATATGGAAGACCAATGATCAAAGAACTGGCTCTTCCAACTGGAAGAAAAGAAAGGACTTAAACAGAATCAGAGATGAAAAGGGAAACAGAATTGACCATAGAAAAAGTCATTAGAAATTATTAGGAAAACATGCAAAGAAATGGCTACACTAGAAGAAATTTACAAATTACTAGATACATAAACTTTGTCAAAACTGAATCAGGAAGAAATTGAAATCCTGAACAGGCAAACAAAAAATGAGATTTAATCAACTGGAAAAAGCCTGTTACAAAAAAGTCTAGAACCAGATGGCTCCACCACTAAGTTCAACTGAACATTTAAATAAAAGCTACCAGTTCTCAATTTTTCCCCATTTCCCTGAGAGGAAGTAATTTTTCTGAATACATTCTATGGAGCCAGCATCACTCTTACACCAATAATACATAAAACCATAACAAAAATAAATAAATGAAAAAGAAAGATATAAAATACTCTTGTTGAACAAAATCCAACAAAACACCACCAAATCTAATGCAATAGTACATTAAAACAATTATTCTCAGGACTGGAAATGTGTCTTAGCATTTGAAAGTATTGGTCACCTTTGCAGAGAACCAGGTTTGATTTCCAGCACCCACATGGCGGCACATAACCATCTGTAATTCTAGTTCTAGAGATCTGACACCGTCTTCTGGCCTCCAGGAACACACAACACACACTATATATGCAGACAAAACATCCATGCACATAAAATAATAATAAAAATTTGTAAATATTACTCACAATTACTAAACAGGATTCATTCAAGAATGCAGGGATGGTCCAACATACACAGATCAATGAACACAATAAACAACACCCACAGATTTAAAAAAAACTACATGTTAATCTAAATTGATACAGAAAAATTACCCAGTAAAATTCAACATCTTTCATTATAAAAATGCTGAACAAATTAAGTATACAAGTAATACACTTTAACACAATTAGGGTCATTTTGGAACAAGCCAACAGCTAATATTATATTGAACTGGAAATAGTTGAAAGTTTTTTATGAGATCTGAAACAAAAATAGTGCTTGAGGGCCAGAACAATCAGGAATGAGAGGGAAAATGTTATCCAAATTGGAAAACAAGTCAAACTGCCTGTTTATAGATCAGTTGAAATTGTAAGTAATAAATGAATTCATTAAAATTGCAGGATTTAAATTAGTATACAAAATGGTAGCGTTGTTATATAGTGTTACTCATACTTTTCATTGCTTTAAAAACTATGTGGTGGGGAAGAGGGGGAAGGAAAGGTTTATTCTGTGGAGTGGCAGTGCAGAGTAGCTCACATCACATTGAGATGGCTGGGAAAATGAGAGAGAAAAGAGAAGAGGAGAGAAGAAGAGGGAATGGGAGGAAACAGAAGAAGAGGTGAAATTTTCTATTAGAAGATAGTCTGCTTATTAACAACCATTGGGTGGTGCTGTCCACACTCAGGACTGGCTGTTTTCTTAGTTAGCCCTGCCTGAAAGTACCCTTCAGACTCACTCTGAAGTATGTTCATTAATCTCCTGAGCAATTTTCAAACCAATCAAATTGACAATCAAAATTATCACATACCAACAGCGAATTGGTTAAGGGGACCTGAATTTCAATTTCAAGAACCCACATTGGGTGCCTGCTACTCCAGCTCCTGAGGAGCTTCCAGCCTCCTCCAGCACCTACACATATATGTCATTCACTTTCAGAGATACACACATACACATAAAGAATAACAAAAAGTATTTTAAAATACCAATGCCATTCTTCACAAATTTCAAAAATTCCAAATTTTATATGGAACCACAAAAAGAATAGGACAATCAACTTTTTGCAAAAGGAAGAAAGCAGGAAGTGTAATGCTACCCAAATTTAAAAAGTTGTAATAATCAAAACACCATGGCATTGTTATAAATACGAACACATACATCAATAGAACAAAAGAGAGCTGAAAAATAAACCCATGCATCTGAAGCTAAATGATTTAACAAAGATGGTAAGGACACCCACTAAGTAAAAGGTTTTTTTTTCAATAAATAGTGCTGAAATATTAGATATTCAAATGCAGAAGCATGAAGCTAGTTTCTAATTTCTCACACATTATAGGTATCAACTCAAAATAATACTGACATGAAGTACCTGAAATTATTAATCTCCTTGAAGAAAATACAGAGAAAATGCTTCAGAACATTGCAATGAACAATGTTTTCTCTTTAAGCCTCCAAAAGAACAGGAAACAAAAATAAAAAACAGACAAATCAGTTATGTAAAATTAAAAGGGACTTCATAAAAAAGGAAATACTCAACAGAGTGCAAAGACAGTATACAGGATAGGAAAAATATTTATAACACATATATCTGACAAATAATTGATATTCAAAACACAGGAAGAGCTACAGAAACTCAATAGCAAAATACAAATTACTCAATTAAAAATGAACATTAAATCTAAACAGATGTGTCTCAAAATACATGCAGTCATGAAAAGAATATGAAAAATATTCAATATCATTAATCATAAAGAAAATGCAAATCACAATAGAATATCACCTCATCAAGGTAGAAAGGACGATTTTCAAAAAGATAAAGAGATAATTACCTAGCTGATGAGATACTATGATCACTACCATGGTCTACCCAGGCAAGGTTTATTCATTGCACTCAGAATGTGCTGACCCCTTGTGATTTCCCTAAATGTGGGGAAACTCAACTGCATAATTTGTGGTAATGATCTGTGGTGATGGGAGCACTGAATTTGCGCTCTCCTATGGGGGGTTGAGGGGGGGAGGTGAACAAGACTAAAGCTAACAAGTACCTGTGTAGATGTAAAGAAAAGTGAACCCTTGCACACTGTTGGTTACAATATAAATTAATATGGATGGTCTTTAAAAACTGAGTTGGAAATGGAGAGATATCTATAATACTTTGTTATTTGCACAAAAGTGTCAGATTAAAAGTAAATTTGTCTTTTTTCAAGAAAGAAATAGCAATAAATGTACATGCATATGCATGAATAATATTTGCATGCTTGTCTTAGCATAGAAACATGTAGACAATTATTTAATTACGGACTTTTTGTATTGTTTTTCTAGCTTTATTGAAAATGACTTATATTTACAATTTTAATGTCAGAGAAATATTTAAATTAAGAGTGTTTTATGTAATTAAGAAAGGAATACACTAGTCTCTTGTCCTTTTTTATGCGCTCCTCTTACAAACAGTGTGGTGGAGCTAGTGTCGCATCTACGCGAAGATTTACAGTAACCCCGTTTTTGGTGATGAGTCAGAGTGCGTGGTGCTGATGCTGCTGCCATTTCATCACCTTTGCGAGTGCAGCATCCATCCCTCTACCCCAGCGCCTGGGCCTACCTTGCTTCAGGCTACCAGGCCAGTGATGCGCTCACGGTCGAGCCAAAGGGCTGATCGGAGCTAAGGCCTTGGTGGGGCGCCCCCTCTCGCCTCCCCAGGCCTGGGCTGAAGAGTCCTGCCAGGCCACGGCCATGGAGGCCATCTGGCTGTACCAGTTCCGGCTCATTGTCATCGGCGATTCCACGGTGGGCAAATCCTGCCTGATCCGCCGCTTCACGGAGGGCCGCTTTGCTCAGGTTTCAGACCCCACCGTGGGGGTAGATTTTTTCTCCCGCTTGGTGGAGATCGAGCCAGGAAAACGCATCAAGCTCCAGATCTGGGATACAGCGGGTCAAGAGAGGTTCAGGTGGGAGTGCAGCATGGGCCCGCGCGAGCAGTGGGAGGGTCTTTGGGGCTTATCTGGCCCCTGGGGAAAAAGGACTTCCTTGGTTATTTTCATGATGCCTAGATGACAAGAAAGGGTCTGAGACTTGTGCTCAAGCTCACTTTGAGCTAACTAGGAGTTCAGTGCAGGAAAAGAATCACCCAGGAAGGGGAAGGCCATTCATTAACACATTGTTTGCACCACAACTCTGTCAACCTGCTTTTTGGTAGCTAATAAATCATCTGGAATTGACTAGTATATAATTCTTCAAAATCAGAGCCTATGTTCTATGTTTTAAAAAAACTTCCAAGTCAACATAACTGGAAGCTATAGGTAGGTAAGTGGATAAACTAGATAGATGTATATTGACTTCTTTCTATGTCTCCGTTTTTTAGAGAGAGAGACAGAGAGACAGAGAGAGATAGAGAGACAGAGACACACAGAGAGACAGAGAGAGAGAGACAGACAGAGACAGAGAGAGTCCTAATAGAGAACTAGAGACTGATTCATTGATTCTCTCTTGGAACCACCATACATTTAGTTGCCAGAGAGTGGAATTGTTTCTGAGAAAATAGTGTGAGAATGTCATATAATTTGAGTAGATAGTCCCTGACCTCTTGGAACTCCAGTACTAGTATGGTTGGAAGAAACACATACAGAGGCAACACACAATAAGTGTTTTTTGTTGTTTGTATTTATATGTCACTCCCTACTGTACCACTAGGCACTTATTAGGTAATCAGTATGTTTATTTTTCTCTCACAATTCTTTGTTCTTCCTTTTAGTATGTATTTGTGATTTAATGTGTAGAGACAGAGGAGAGAAGTTTAACTGGAGAATATAAAGCCCAAACAAAGACAAGAAATTCCCAGAGATAGAAAACAGCATGAATAAAAACAAAAGTGACAGAAAACAAACTATATAAAAACTTTGCAGAGAACAGTTTGAACTAAAGTAAGGTAGAGAAGCAGAAATCAGAGCAAAAGGACTCTATACCCCATATTTATGATTATTTACTCATTCTCCACTGAACATTAGTTGAACATAGAAGATACTGATTAGGTCATTGAGGAAGGATACAGGTAATAAAGACTTGCAAACATAAGTTGCCTCTAACTTCCCACTTGTACAAAGCTTTGGCAAATACTTCATACAAATTCTCATAAATAAAGAAATTTATCTTGTATATGTTTGCTAGGGTCTTTGTTTAAACAGCTTGTTCATATATACTATTCATTGTGTATTATGCAGTATTCATTTGTAGGACTTCTTTACATATTAAAAATAATAACACCAACACCAACAGTGGTGACACACACAATTTCAGGCCTCTGAATGCTGAAGAAAGAGGATAATGAGTAGTTGAAGGCCAGCTTGGAATTCTGTCAAAAAAAATTAACCCTTTTTATGTCATGTTTGTTGTAAGGTATTTCCCCAGTTTGTCATTTATCTTTTCATGTTAAGATTTCTTTTATTTGTGGGAGGTGTCTAGTTTATGTAGCTTTATGTTATGCTTAAAATGTTTTGACACTTTTTGTGCTAAATACAAACCTAATTTTCTGATATAATTATCATTCTCCATGAATCTTCAAACATAAAGGAATGAGGAATATTTTCATTCCCTCCATGGACTAATCTCCATGGAGACTTGAACTCATTTGTAAGATCTGTCCCTACCTTTAGCTTGGGCTGCAATTTCCTAGACATTTCCCCATCAACATTGGGACATTTTCCCTTAAAATTTTCAGCTATAGAGCTCTTCATTATCATACCAATCTGAGAAGACAGAAATCCTAAAAGTAGACATAGATTTCAAAAATTGCGATAGTCTAAAGCAAGCGATATAGAGGCAAATTTTTTACAGCCTTTCATAAGCAACTATATTCTTAAGCAAAGTGCCATGATATATATTTATAATGAGATTCATCAACTCAAGAAATTAAAATAAGTGATGTTTCTTCTGTTTGAGAAATACAATAAATGTACAAATAGGCTTTAAAAATAACCTAATTGCATGATTAAAATTAAATAATACAACTTTATGGGAACACTTTGACTATTTTGGCAGAGTCTCCCAGCTAGTGCATCCTCAGTCAACCTCTTTGAATTTTGTCAGTGAGTAGAGTTGATAAGCATTTTTCTCCAGAACTTTTTTAATTTATTATTTTATGTATATTGGTCTTTTGGCTACATATGTGTCTGTGAATCATGTGAGTGCCTGGTGACAATGGAGGCCAGAAGAGCATGTCAGATCCCCTGGAACTGGAGTTAAAGACAATTATGTGCTGCCATGTGGGTGCTGGAAATCAAGTTCCAGTTCTCCAGAAGATCAGTCGGTGCTCTTAACTACTGAGTCATCTCTTTAGCACTGGCCCAGAACATTTTCCCATCCCATTTTCCCAGTCCCATGTGACTTAAGAAATACAAAATGAATTGTGTTTTCTCTTCACAAAAATTATTGATGACCCTTGCTAGAAAAACAGCAATAATGGAAACAAAGAAATGGGGTAATGATAAATAGAAAAATAAATATTTAAAATATATTTTCTTGAGTCATCAATTATATTTATAATCTTTTGATTATAATAAATTAATCTTATTCTTGAAAATTATTTTAAACTACTAGCACTTGCAGTGGATTTTCCATATCAAAAAGTTAAATACCCATTATTTCATTTTGCTTTATAGTTACTCTGTAACTCAGATGCCTTATTTGCAGAAGAGGAATTGTGTTTTAGTTATTTAGACTTGGAAGTGGGAGAGTTAGCTGTGGTGAAAAATAGAACTCAGTCATCTCCTAGGGGGTTTTTCCATGGCTAGATCAAAGGAAAACACCTTTGATGAGCATTCATTTCTAGGAAGGGCCATCTTAAGTTGAAAATTTATCATTATTGTTACAGAATGGCATTTATATTTACTGAAGGACTGTCAATAATCAGGAACACTAGCATACACTAAGTTCATTTGAGTGAAGGACTTTGGGCACGAACTTTATTCTTTACTTCTTTCTTGTGTTTTAGATCCATCACTCGCGCCTACTACAGGAATTCAGTAGGTGGTCTTCTCTTATTTGACATTACCAACCGCAGGTCCTTCCAGAATGTCCATGAGTGGTTAGAAGAGACCAAAGTACACGTTCAGCCCTACCAAATTGTATTTGTTCTGGTGGGTCACAAGTGTGACCTGGATACACAGAGGCAAGTGACTCGCCACGAGGCCGAGAAACTGGCTGCTGCATACGGCATGAAGTACATTGAGACGTCAGCCCGAGATGCCATTAATGTGGAGAAAGCCTTCACAGACCTGACAAGAGACATATATGAGCTGGTTAAAAGGGGAGAGATTTCAATCCAAGAGGGTTGGGAAGGGGTGAAGAGTGGATTTGTACCAAATGTGGTTCACTCTTCAGAAGAGGTTATCAAATCAGAGAGGAGATGTTTGTGCTAGTTAACCCTTCCATTTTCAAAACATACCCTCCCACTTGAACTTAAAAGTTATCAAGATAAATAGAATCCTTGTGTGACTGAAGAGATCCCAACCTTTGAATAACAAATGAGCCTTCTTCCTAGGGGTGGAGCTCTGACAGGCTCATATGTGGGTAGATAAGGAGCCTGGGTGCTTTGATTGAGGGACTAAATTGCTGACATTGGCTAGATCAGACATTGTTTTGTGGCCCAGGCTCAGCAATGATTGTTCTGTGTGTCCTTTGTGAAGGACCACATATTAAGGGTCTAGGGTTTTGGAAGTTAGGTTCCATGAAAACATAGCTACAGAGAGAAAAACTGTTCCTTGGTATTTCAACTTTTCAGAGGTGGTGACTATAAAGAAACAGAAGGAAAACAAGCAACAAATTGAGGATAATTAGGATAACTGAAAAAAGAGTATGATACCAAGTTATTCAATGATAATACCATGTGTGCTGGGTTTGACACAAACACACTAGTTCACTTCTAACAGTTCAACTGTAAAATGAAAGGCCTATTTGAATCAGCTTTGATAAGGCCCTTTCAAGGTTGAGCATTCTAGTAAAATTGATGTGATTCATATATGAAAAGGGAAGTCATTCACACCTTGTTATTAATCACATTTGAGAAAGTGTACACTCTCATGATAGAGTTACCAATTGTGTGAAAGAAACTGTCCCATGTAAAATGGCCATGTAAGGAGAAGAAGGAAACATTGCAACTCAAAGGCCACATTCTTTGACCTCTAACCATATCTGAGCTTTCACTGCATCAGAGAGCCACAATCTGGAGTAAGCATACTGCCTGCTTCTTTAGGTGCCTGACAGTGACAACACAGAGATTGTCTAAAAATAAAAATAAAACCCTAAGTCAAGCCTTTGATCGTTGGTTCTGTGCTGAGTATTTGCTCAACATGTGGCCCTGGAACCCTTAAAATTCTGCATATTAATTCTGTAATAGGCCTGTGAAAATTTTTACCCCATTTTACAGAATAAGAAAGCAAGAAAAAGTCTACCTGATTCCTAGCTTTTTTCCCACTGGATCATAATGCTGTCTCATGAATAAATAATTAATTTGTTAACTTTGGAAATCAGGTGATTATAAATTAATGTTCTCTACGTGATAGGATATGTTTTCCTTGTTGTTTTACAGCTCAACTATAATCCTGCAGGAATCTAGGAATGAAACAAAGGTAAAGCCTATTCTGGTATTATTGAAAGAGGACATTAAATAAGGGATTAACTGCACAACTAAAAACACATTAAAACTGTGTGGGTTTCTAAGTGTTCTTCTCACAAACACTATGAACATTTTATTGAAAGGAACCAAATACAACAATGGGGAGTGGGATGGTGATAAAATACTCACCCCACAATGACCTTGGCCACCTGCCTGCTATGTACCTACACTTGGCTCCTGTCTACCCGAGAGAGTCAGCTCTTAATTCTCAGGTGAACAGACAGATAACCACATCAGTAAATTAGAATGACTGACATGAAAATTTCATTATCTTCTTGAAAAGTGATGCTTTAAATTAATTTTTGGATTGTAGCCAGTTCAGCTAGGCAAAAGCCATACTTTTCACAGTAAGAAAACTATTCTGATTAGAGTCAAGTTTCTCATATGCATTGTGGTAGAAAGATTGGCAAATTGTTTTTGCAATATCCTGTTCAAGTTCACTATGAATATGCATGAGTTGGAAAATCTGGGAATTTGTTTCAGCTAAAATAAAACCAAATAATAAAGATTATGGAAGATCATTCTGCCACCTTTGCTCCAACTTGGATAAGAAAATCATCTTGGACCAGTTCACATCATCAGCTACAGGAGAAGTGATCATTTATTCTGTATTCATTTCACATAGTTTAAATTGCCAGATTCTTGCTTGTAGAAGGCAAACAACCTTTTTTTGTGGATTAACTCAAAATTCCAACAACTATACTCATGTCTAGATGGTTCCTAAGCCAAGATTATCCCATGGATAAATGAGAGTTGACTAGATTCTTGTCAACGGGGGGGGGGGGCAGAAATAAAACATGTCTACAGTTTTCTTGACTAAAATAGATTACTTTCCCATTTCTGGCCTTTTAATGTGGGTTTCAAAGTACCCAACATAGATGCAGCAGAGGTGGCTGAACTTAACTGCTTAAATAAGTTCTAGAAAAATCTTTTAAAAATCATTTTAGTAGAATTCAGTGCTGCTGTCACTGCAATAAGTGGGTTTTAGACAATAAGTGTGAAAAATCAGATGTTCATAGAATACTGAGGATAAAGCTTTAGAAGCTATTTTACTACATACAGAAAAGATTAACTTGTAACAATGATCACAACTGCATGTTGGATTAGATTGTCTTATATTCCAGGACAAAATGTACTGTATACTTTGCCTCACTTTGTTGTGCACTGTAATGAAATGTGAAAAATTCTTTATTTAGCTGTATGTGAATGAAAATGCTTGTATTTAGTAAAATGGTTGATTATGTGACTGTGAGATTCCACATGTGTGTTGTAGCTATTTCTAGAATGTGTCCTTTCAATGTAGCAAAGATACCAGTAAAATACCAATCAGATACTGTAGTGTGTACTAATATGATATGACATACTTTGCATTAACAGAGTCATCAGTATCTGAAAGCCAAAGAGAGGACACAATTTCTTAAAGGTATATGGTTCTCATGTTGAAAACCACAGAAATCTCACTACTTCATTTTCAGCCCAAGCCACTATGTAAAAAGTTGAATCTGTGAAGCCTAAAACTTCAGCATTATAATTTTTATTCAAGAGTTATAATTTTTCACCAGGCAAGTATGTAATTACAACTATTGTCTTCACTGAAAAGTCTTTTCCATGCTAAATTGCCGTTGTTTTTTCAAAATGACTGTGGCACACTATATCATAGGAACATTGCAAGTGTGGGGACCAGATTGGAACACAGTCATCTAGCACATTTTCCAAGTTGGATAGTGTGCATCTGAGAAAAATGTAAGAGAAATCTTTGATTCTGAATCTAGGCATACACAGGCTAATCTCAACACAAAGAAATAAAAAATTAAAAATGAAACAGCATTTCATTGAGTTTTCCACTCTCTTAAAATTTCCACTATTCTCCATCATCTTTTCTTCATTTATATGCCTTGGTGACCTCAGCCATTCAGTAGTTTTAAGAACCATCTATAAGCCAGTAAGCCCTAGACCGATATGTCCAGCTCATTTATTACCCATGGACTCCAGACTTTTATAACCAACCACTTACCTGTCATCTCCATTTTACTGCTCATTAGCGTCTCAAGTTTAACATGTCCCAAATCAGGATCCTGATTTTCTACTTCAAGCCATAACATAACCTTCTCCTGTCCTATGTATTTCTAACAAAAGTTTTACTCATTCTAGTCATTCTTCTTTCCTTCTCTTTCTTACTCCACCTTTGATCTACCTGAAAATTATGTTGTCATCAGAGTATAACAATAATCTGACAACTAACTTTTCAACACCTTCAATGTTAAAACACTGGTGTTGTCCAATATTACTTATCACCTGAGTTATTGTGATAAAACTGGTCTCCCTAACCACTCTTACTACCCCTTCCCCTACTACATTCTATTATCCACATAGCAGCCCAAAGAAGACTGATGAAGAAGCATGAGTTGAAAACAGTCACCTACTCATAATTTTCCAGTGGTTATCAATTTCACACACAAAGTCCTTCCAACAGTCTGCAGAAGAATCATTAAAAATGAATTGTATCCCTTTATCTCTGCAACCTCATTTCTTACAGCTGGCCTATTCATCTCACACTAGTTATAGTTTCCTTTCTTCTTTATTTTAAGTTATTTTTCATTCTTAACTATGTACATACATGTGAGTCATACATGTGAGTAGGTATGTGTTTTGTTCCTCTGAAGCCAGAAGAGATGGATACATTACCTGGAGCCGGAGTTTCAGGAAGTTGTGATCCGTATGATATGGGGACTGAATTCAGTTCCTCTACAAGAGCAGTATGTGCTCTTAATTGCTGAGTCATTCTTCAGCCCCTCCTATTTGTTCTTCAAACATGCCAAGAGCATTCCCACCTCAGGGCTTTTGTACTTGCTCTGCACTTGTTTGTAATTCCTTTCTGAGATAGATTCATGAACTGCTTTTCACATCCAGCAAGTTATAGAACCAGCAGCTTCCAAAATCTTTGAATAGCTTACAGATACTAGGGAATACATTCATCCAGATATCATTACTGACAGCCCAGAGTCCTGATCTTTAGCCTTGCCTGTGGAACAACAAAGATTCTGGGATACCAAAAAGGAAGAAAAACCTAGAACAGTGATTCTCAACCCATGATCACGACCCCTTTGGGGATCAAACAACCCTTTCACAGGGGTTGCCTGAGACCATCAGAAAACACAGATATTTACATTACCATTCATAACAATAGCAAAATTACAGTTACGAAGTAGCAACAAAAATAGTCTTATGGTTTGGGGTCACCACAGCATGAGGAACTTATTGAAAGGTCATAGTATTAGGAGGGTTGAGAACCACTGACCTAGAAGGCGATCACAAAAATCCTGGGAGTATGTCATAATACAGCAGTGGATTTAGAAAAAAAAATTGGACAAATTGTACTCGTAGGATTTGTTGGTAGAAAGGCTTCTGTATTCACTAAGCCTCTCAGGAAATTGTATGGAAGGACGATGTTCTTCCTCTGCTCCTCAAAATTTCTCCTTCCCAGACAATCTAATCCACCCCCCATGTCTTCAATTACTCTCAGCCCATTTTTTTGAGCATCAAGCAAATGCAGTCAATTTGCTTAAGATACACAGACATAAATTTCTCAAACTCAAAACCATTTTCCTCCATTTTCGTTGCTATCACCACTGGCCAATCCATTACTGACTCTTACTTGAACTACTTCAATATCTTATGCTTCTCCATGTTTCTGCTCATTCACACATCCATGACACATTCCCAAAATGTGTAAAGTTAACACACCATGTCTGATCAAGTCATTCTTCACCGAAAACACAATCTACCCATGATTTCTTATCACATTTTAGCAAAATTGAAATAAATCTTAGATTTCTTAATATGACTACAAGGCTCTCCATCATCTGGTATGTCCAGTTGTGAGCTCTATAAAATAGTAATCTTACTTTCTTCACCAGAGTTTCTCAAATCTACAGAGCAGATATATTCTTGAATAATCAGTAAAAATTTAAATGATTTTCTTATCCTACTTTAATCCAATAAACTTAACTCTTCCAGAAAACATACACATGATTCTGCTCTGTAGCCTCTGGAATTGTTTGATTACAAAATTTTCTTGTCACTGTCTCCTACAATGCCTGTCTTAAAATTCTGTTGTGACATTAGGCAATCAAGCATGGCACACTACTCATTTATCAATATAGGCTTTTGTTTCTCTTCCTCCTTTTCTTGGCTAATGTAATCAACTGCATTTGATTACCAGTTCCTAAAGGAAAATGTTAGTTCTTTGTTTATTTCATTTGAAAGTTTTTAATTTACTCTTCCAAACATTGTTTAACAAATGTTGTTCAACAAAAGTATAAGATTATGGACTTTTTTCAGTAAGAGAAACATAGGTTCAAATTCCGACTCTACCAGAAATTAAGTGTAATTCAGTATCTCTGAGTCCCACTTTATATATATATACATATATATATGTATATATATATTTAAATTGAATGATGATATTTAACTCATAAGGTTGTTGTAAGGATGAAATGAGACAATCCATAAGAAGACTTGGTTGTAATAGTCTTAGATGATGGGTATTATATTTGCATATAAATGAATCTCTTCCACAAATGGTATCATGTAACACACACTGTTCTGTTATTGTTCTTATATAGTATATTGTCTGTAACTACATGACAGTAGAGACTATGTCCAGCTTTGATAATTACTATATAACTACAGTCAATCAGTGCATGTACATATTTATTGAATGTGATCAAAAGAAGAGGGAGTTAAAACATGGCAGAGCAGAGATTCAAGGAAACTGGATCCTTGACAACATAAATGAATCATAGATTTCCCTAGAATGGAGCCACCCTGTATTAAGATCCTTTGAAACCTTAAATAATAAAACTCTTTTTGGTTTATGCCTTTCTCCCATTCCCCACTCTTATATTTGAAAGTTTCCTAACTGATACAATTATATTCCACTGCATGAACATGTGATATTTTATTTAATCAGGTCTCATTAAATGTATGCATTTGTACCTTTGTGTATTTGACTGTGCCAAATTAAAATTCCTAGAAATGAAATTTATGAATCAAATATTATGATTACTTAATTTTTATAATTAATTAAATTATTCTCTAGAAATGATTTACTGAACATTCATAAACAGTGTATGATAAGGTCTATATTAGCTACTACTGTAATTTTTAACTCTTTGCAGACTCAAGAGGTTAATAATATATATTTTAGTTTTTAGTAAGAGATGGGTGATATACAGTCTTTCTCCATAGCCCAAGCTGCCCTGAAACTCTCTTTATATAATACAGTCTGACCTCAAACTCATAGACACTCTCTTGCCTCACACTAAAAATTTTAAATGTGCATATATTTGATTATTGAATTTTTGTGCTTGAAGTTAAAAGTAGTCCCAACTAATAAAGGCTGCTGATCTTTTTCTTATCAGTAAAACTACCTTATACACAGAAATTTCTTCTCTAATCTTCATATGTGGCAAAAAATCCTAATTTAAAATTTCTGGTGTTTGGTAATACAGAAGTCTTTAATATTTAACAATAAAATCTATTGTTTGTAAGAAACTGGAAACAGCTGGGAGGCAGGTGGATCTCTGTGAGTTTGAGGCCAGCCTGGTCTACAGAGCAAGTTCCAGGACAGTCAGGGACTATTACACAGAGAAACCCTGTCTCAAAAAAATGGAAACAACCTTTGTCTCAGATTGATGAACCAAATAGATGGAAGACAGACATACTGAGAGGAAGAATTTGTTTCCACTAGATAAGTGTTTCTATCTTTTAATTTCAATGATTTTGTAAAGATTTGTTTTTGTTTTTTAAAAGTGTGGGTGTGCACATACATACATACATACCATACATACATACATTTGTGCTAGTACCTATGGAAGCCAAGAGAGAATGCTGGGTTCCCTGGAGCTGGAGCTGCATGCTGTAATGAATCACCTAAAATGGATTGGGGGAACTGAACTCCAGGCCTCTGAAAGCAGCAACTGCTCTTAACCAGTGAGCCATCTCTCTAGTTCCCCCTCCCCTATGTGCCTTGATTTTTGTATCATGTAATTTATGTAATACTTCTTACACAGCATGTTGTCTTGATATTTTGTAGCAATAATGTTAGGTGTGATAGGCCTTTTCTGCCTAAAACCTAGAAAACATCTCCATCCTTACAATGGATTTTAGATTTCTTCAGGAATCATCGTATCTAGCCATTGATCTATTTTTCTAATCCTAGAATATACTACATTCTTTTAGCTTGGGTAACTCAATCAGATTTTTCAAATTAACTTTTGCTGCCTCACATTTGTCTTTGCTACTTTTATGCAGGATTTTAGAACTTGAGCATAAATGTGTCAACTTTTCCCTGAGACAGGGTTAGGATTTTGATTGAAACTAATTTCACTAACAATGATAGATGATAGGCACACTCATCTTAGAAAAATTTACATAATGTCATCTAATGCTTGTATCTGTTAGTAACTGTTTATTGTTTTCTCGTTTTTAGCCATTTTCTGTTTATTTTACTTTTTTTAGTTCTAAATAGATTGTGTCATTATACTGGTTCCAATTGTTCTAAGTACTCAATTCTAGCATGTAGGAAATCTGTGGATTCATTTATGTTTATAGATTATAACAAAATCCTTATTAAAATCCATTATCAAACTAATTTTTCAATGAGATTCTTCTACTTTTTAAGCAGACATCATAATCCATTCATGTTTTCCTTCACTGATATCTACATTTCATTTTTTCTTATTTACATTGATTAAAACTGAACTAATGTGGTAACAGCAGTGATGATGGATATCTTTATAATTTTTTCCTATTTTTAGCATATT